TTTTGTCAGTTGTCCAATTTTTGATATCTTTGACAGGAACCGAGATAAATGCGCTCAAATTTCAAAGTTAAAAGGCCCTTCTATTACAGGTTTAACGGCATTTTTCTCACCTCCGACAGATGCTTAGCCACTGTTCTCACATGTCTCCCAAGAATATCTCCAGCTCTTCGAAACACCTCCGCAACCGCCGGATCATCAACTCTCGTCGCCAGTGAAACCGCAAAATCCGCGATTCGATGCTTCTCGAATTTCGAATACAAGAAATCCAAAATCCGAGTTTTATCGTTAATCTGATAGTGCTCGAATAGCAATTCCTTGATGACTACCGTATCCCAGCCGTCTATCATTCCGTCTTCCGCATCGAAAAGCAGTTGAATGGCTTCTCTTGCGATCCAGAATGCACTTCCACCATCGCCAATCTGGTGTCCCCAACCGCCGGCTCCTTTGACTTCTCCATTGCTCATTTTTAGTCTACAAGAGGATCCGGTGCCAGCAATCAAGACTATTCCATTCTCCTCGCCCGGAAAATTGGCCAGCAAAGTCATCACAGAGTCCGATGTCAGGTAAAAATTCTCCGTCAATCCCTTGTTATTTTTCTTGAATCCTTCTACGAATTTTCGATTGAATTCCTCATCTTCGGCACCGGATAAGCCTAGTCCTACAGCGCGTAGTTTCTGAATATCCAGCGATCCCTTTTCAAAAACTTCCAGAATCCAATCAGCGATTCGTTGGCAAATTATAGTGTGATCAGTTAGGAAAAAATTGGTTCCGGGGGCTGATGAGGTGTAGCGTTGGTTGGTATCCGCATCGATGATCACTAACTTCGAGCCGGTGGCGCCGCCTTCGATGCCAGCGTAGTATCCGAGGGATTCGCTGAAAAAATTGCTTATTTTTGTCTTTTTTTCTATGTTTTCATTCTTTTTCTGCGAAAAAACGCTTGAAAACGACTGTTTTCTCGAAAAAATCGTTCAAAAATTCAGGTCGTTTTCGTTCAGGTCGTTTTTGGGATTTTATGTCAATTTTGGCGATTTTCCGGAGATTCTCGATATTTTTCACCCAGATTTCCTTTATTTTTTCGACATATTCCAGTGAAAAACCGCAAAAATTGTTTCAAAGTGGAAGAAAATTTAAAGGCGAACACTGTATTTTCGCTGTTGGGTCTCGCCACGATCCACGTTTTTTTTGGGCCAAAAAATTACGAATTTCTACGAAAAAGTAACTTTTTCATTGAAAATTGCTTCAAAGTAGCCTTTTTTCAGAAAAATCGAAAAAATTCGCTTAGAAAATAATTTTTGGCCTAAAAATACGAATTTCCATAATTTTCACTAATAAGTAGCTTTTCAACGGGAAAATTTTTGAGCCGATTTACCGGAAATTTACAACCAAAAATGTCAATTTTGGGCCTAGAAATTACGAATTCCCACGGAAAACTAGCTTTAAAACAAAAATATTGCTTTGAAATTACTTTTTTTTTCAGCAAAATCGAAAAATTCGCTTTGAAAATAATTATTGGTCTAAAAATGCGAATTTCCGATAATTTTCGGCTTAAAAATTACGAATTTTCACTAGAAACTAGGTTTTCAACCATTTTTTCATGGAAAATCGCGAAAAATCTCTCAAAAATAAAAGAAAATTTAAAGGCGCAGACTGTAACTCCACCGATGAATACCACGATTCTCGTTCTAGGCCGACTTTTCGAAGAATTTAAAAATTTTAAATTACTTTGTCATTTGAAAAATATCAATAGTCTCCTTCTCCGTTTCAATTCTTCGGACCAGATTTGTTTTCAAAAATCGATATTTGGCAAGTTGAGGTGCACAAGTCCAGCTGTCGCTGTAAGAAAACACGATTTTGGAAGCTAAAAATCCAAAATTTTCTATTTAAAATTAGTTCAAGACGACACGAAAAAAGGACAAAATACAAACAATCCCCGTTTCTCTGCGTCTCTCCACCGCTGCACTCACTCTCTCAGCTGGTATGCAAACCAAACGACCGCGTGCTCGAATTTTATCAACAATTGGGCGAGAGTGTCGACCAACGGTCGAAACGTGGCCGGATCAAAGAAGACGTCCGACGCGATAATTATGTCAAGACGATCGCCGATTTTCAAGATAACGTCGGCGACGGACGCCCGGCTGTCCCAATCGAGACCCTGAAAAGCATCTTATTGACAAATAATGCAATTTCTAATTAGTTTCAGCATTTTTCAGTGCGAAAGTTGCTTTGAAACCGCAAAAAACGGTGGAAATTGATTGAAAATTCAAAGGCGCATACAGTAATATCGTTTCTCGGGTCTCGAAGCGATAACGTTTTTTAAAGCGATTTTAGCTGACTCATTTTACTCATTTTTGATTGATTTCACGATTTAAGAAAGAAAATAGTTTTTTACAGATTCAACGAATTTCAGCTCTTAAGCGATCGGAAAATTCAGAATCAAAAGAAAAAAACTTCGAATAAAAATGATGGGTTACGTAACCGGTTACTGTAGAACATTTAAAGGCGCATGCGATTCCTTGGGCGGGTCTCGGAGCGATTTTAACTTTTTCAGCGTTTTTTCTCGATTTGTCCGGCTTTTCATGCCATTACCGCCACGTGGCACTTCTCCTCGACTCCGTTAGCTTCAATATTCTTCTGAAGCGTCGTCAATGCCGTCTCCAAATCGGGATGATCCGTCATCCAGACCTTCTCAGCGCCTAATTTCGCGGCGGTGAGCCCGGCGACTCCAGTGGCTCCTGCGCCAATTTCCAGAACAACCTTTTCAGCGATTTCTTCTCGTTTTGAGCACAAAAATTCGCCGAAGACTTTGGCACACGGCCAAGTGTGTTTCCAGTGGTGTTGAGTGGACATTTTAGGGCTATAAATTTGGATTTTGTGGCTTTTTTGGGCCTATAATAGGAAAAAATGGTAGCGAAATTCGATGGAAACGAAAAATTGGTTAAAATAATGCAATCTTTATCTTACAAATCTTATTTTATGCCGCGTTCAAAGTTGATTTCCAGGAGTAAAAATTCCTGGAGAAACGCTGTCCAAAGCTGCGATTGTTTTCCAGATTTACAGCAATAGTAAACTACTGTATCACTCGTTTTGACTGTGTTCTTCCTGTTGATTCATGTCGATTTACGGCGGGTCTCGAAGCGGAGGCCTCTGGAAAACAATGGCAGCTTTGGACAGCGTTTTTCCAGGAAATTACTCCTGGAAATCAACTTTGAACGCGCCATTAAGGCACTTTTAAATAGACAAATCACAACTGGGATATGGCATAGCAAAATTATATAGTTTATACAAATTAAAATTACAGAATCCACGAGTTGAGATCGGTTGCAAACTCCTCGTCGCTCATGAATTTCTTGTCGATTTGTCTGAAAATTCAAATTTCTGAATAAATTTGAAAATTCTGCAAACTCACGATATCGCAATATCACCACACAACGGGCACTCGTTGCCGACAATATTGCCAATCAGCGCCGCGATTTTCAGATATTTGTCTTGCTTTTCAACGAAACCCTTCGCATTTCCAGCCAACTGCTCGGCTTTCATTTGACCCAGCACACGATCCTCATCGTTGATCAACGTCTTCATGCGGGCGACGTCTTCTGCCGTCAAGAATGGAATCATTGCGATTTCGAGGCATTCTCTGTGGAAGAGGTGACGGCACGAGTGGACGTTGAAGGCTCGGCCAGAAATCGGGCGGGCGCAGTGGGCACAGACGTCGGAGGGCTGGAAATTAGACATTTTTATGTAAATTTCGGTCATTTTCCGCGGATTTTCGATAGTTTTATGTGAATTTCTATTCTTTTTCTGAATTTTTTGCCGAAAAATCGCTTGAAAAAGTGAAAAAACCGCAAAAATTGTCCCGAAAATGAAGGAAAATTTAAAGGCGCATACTGTATGCTCGCCGATGGGTCTCGCCAAAATCCAAGTTTTGAGTCAATTTCGGGCGAAATTTCGCCTAATTTGGCCTAAAAACTTGATGTGCTGGCTGAAAAATAACGAATTTTTTGAATTTTCTCAGGGCTGTCCAAAACGAAGGCCGGGCCTCGGCCGGCCTCGAAAAAGCCTCGGCCGAAGAAAAAAAGGCCTCGGCGCGCTCCATTGAGAAAAAGCCTCGCGAGGCCTCGGCCGGCCGAGGCCGGCCTCGCAAATGTGACTACGGTCAGCAAGTCGCATATTTTACGACAAGTTGCGTATTTTTTTTAATTTTTTGTTTTTTCTCGCTCTTTTTCAGCAAATCACGATTTTTCGAGAGTTTTCTCGATTTTTCCATCGATCTGTGGCGACATGAACATTTCAAACGCCAGTGATGGTCGCGTTTAAGCCGATTTATTCATTTGTTATAACCGTTATTCAATTTCAGACACAATTCAGATGCCTCAATGGTTCATTGATCCCAACAAAATCGATTGTGAATTAGTGATAAAGAACAAAAAGGAAGGATTCGGCGGTTTTTATGCTAGTTGAAATTTTTTTTTGTTGAAAAAATTAGTTCTTTTTCAGAAAAAATGCACTGATAAACAGGGATACATGCGAGTGGTGTTTGTTCATCATGCGACCGGCGCAGAGAACGCCGTCAAATTTTTAAAGTGTGAATCTTGCTCGAGCATTATAGGAGATAACGGTGGCCATTTGCAGTAGGCAAAAACATTTTTTATATTAATTATGATGAAACTATAGGCGCCACCAGAAAAAACACAGTACATCTGGAAATTCTACGTCCCGTAACGTTTTGAATGCTTCAAAACTGGATGTATCGAGATTGCTGTCACGATTTTTTGCCACCACTGGAAGGCCATTGCACGAAATGGAAAATTCTTCGTTTAGAACGTTGGTCGGCGATTTATTGAATCTCGGGTATAATTATTTTTTAAAAAAGTTCTCATTGTAAATTGTATTGTTCAGCAAGCGAATGGATCCAACATCAGTACCAATGTCGCTTATTCCCAGCAGAAGTTCTACGCGACGGTATACCTTGGAAAAACTGGACAATGAAATTGCAAAGTTGCGAACTCTGGTGATAATCGACTCATGGCCATTTGTAAAAGGGAATTTTCAGGTGTTGCCTATTGCGAAATCGGGATACCTATCGTTCATGGCTGATTTTGGAAGAGTTCACGAAGATTTTTTGTGCCTGAAGGCTTCTTATTTGGAAGAAAGGATTGACGAAGATGGTAGTCTGAAATGGGTGACACTCGTCGTTCCAATCGCCTATATGTCAGTGTCCGGAGATTTGAAAGATGCGAATAATGTACGTGATGCTATCAAGTTCACTTGCCAAGACTACATTTCAGATTTTCATTATGATCAAACAAGCCGTTTTGAATTTTTTTGGCGAAGATTTGGATTTGAAGACTGCATTTTTAACAGCGGACGGAGCTCATAATATTCGTCGCTGTGCAACAGATCATTTTAACCAATGTAAGCTTCACTCAATTTGCGAGTGCCTAAATGGGTTGGTTTCCAGATGTCCGCTGCTTCGCTCATGCGACTGATATCATTGGAAAACGAACACTGCTTCCTTATAAATCAACAATAGTTTCTCCTCTTGAACGATCGATTTTGAAAAACTATTCCGATCTCCTGGAATTGTGTCGACTGTTCACAATGAGTCTCAAAAAGGACCGAGCGGTAATTTCTTCAAAGTTACACATGTTTCACTACGGAATTTTAGTTGTACAAGGAAATTGGCGTGTCTCTTTTGGATGTAGTCCCAACACGATGGTTCTCTGGATTTAAGTGTCTTGTTGCGGTTTACAAAAACATTGACAAATTAGGATCCTTTATTGCCGAGATGACCCCAACTTCTGCTTCGCACCTGGACGAACTGCTAAAAATAGAAAATAGAATCAGATACAAAGAACTATCTGATGTAATGGATCCATTACTACAATCGAATACATATTTCCAGGTTTATCAACTCAAACAGAATGCTGTTAATAATTAACATTTTAAGGAGAATTCGGACAGTTTGAAAGATGTGGCTGTGTTTGTCGTTAGCTTAATGGATGAATTTGATCGATTTTCGGTAGCTGGAGAGAAAGAGGTTCTTGTCAAATTCGCGAAACAAGCAACGAGAAAAATGTGCACAGATCTCGATACCATTCATTTTGTAGCCACCTATTTGAATCCTCCGTCTAAAGATTTACATGAGTTACAATTGAGATACGATCGGCATCAGGTACTAAAGAAAACGACGAACACTGTAACATGAACTAGTGTGTAAATTTCAGATTCCGATTGATATCGTGAACGATGCTCAGAAGCTTCTGGACGATTTGGGAAAAAGTTTTGAGGAAATGAGATATCAGGCGCCACCACAAAGCCAACCACCTGCACGTCATCTCACTTTCCTTCAACGTACTCTGGGCGGATCAAGCGCCCCAAAAAGCAGTTCGCTTCATCAAGAACAGCAGCAATACGAGAGAGACAACAGAAGTATGCCTGCATCAAAATTTTGGCCTCTGGCAAAAAGCTCCTATCCAATTTTGCACGAAATCGCCCGAAAAGTTCATGCGATTCAAGCTTCGGAAGCAGATGTAGAAAGATCTTTTTCAATCATAAAAAACTTGTACACACCAAATCGTCAGAGCCTGGACTTAAAAATGCTGGAAAAGTTGATGATTTTCAAAGAAAAAGATCGATTCGACACAGGCGAGACTTGAAGATTTTGATGCATGAACACAAGCTTTTTTTGTTAATTTTCTTGAATTTGTTGTCATTTTCTCTCCCCTGTTATCTCAGTGTTGAATAAAAGATTTCTTGACTTCCTCCTTTTTTTAAATGCTCTAAATATCGAAAAATCGAGAAAACTCTCAAAAAATGCCTGATTTGCTGAAAAAGAGCGAGAAAAAACAAAAAATTTAAAAAAAAACGCAACTCGTAATCATATTTGCGAGGCCGGCCGAGGCCTCGCGAGGCTTTTTCTCAATGAAGCGAACTTGCGACGGCCTCGGCCGCATAAAATTGCGCGAGGCCTTCGGCCGGCCGAGGCCGGCCTTTTGGACAGCCCTGAATTTTCTACATAAAAAATAGAAAAATCGTTCGAAAATGTTCATTTTCGAAAAAAAATTGCTTTTCAGGCCAGAATTTTCAATGGTAAAATTGACAGTTTTCAGATGGATGTTGGGCCATTTTCAGTCAATTTTCAGCTGTTTTTATCTATTTAGAGGTCAATTCCAGTGAAATTTTCTATTTCTTTTCCATTTTTCCCCCAATTTTTCGGATTTCTGCTCACCTTCACCACCGTCGTTCGATTCTTGAGCTTCTCCTGTTTCTCACGAATCTCCGTCGCAATGTCCGTCGCCTCCTTCATCGATTTCTCCAATTTCTCCAGCCGATCCTTATTTCTCATCAAAAAATCCATGATAACCGGCCGGAGAGTGCCGACTTTTGTGAATTTCGGGATGATTGGGAAGAGGTCTTGAATGGTGATCAGGTGGTTGGATTCCTGGAAAATTGGAGGGTTTTTTTCTGGAAATTAGCTGAAAATCGTCCATTTTCAGGATTTTTTCGGCAAACCTGTATAATCTGAATCGCCTTATCCACGTCGTTCTCCTTCTGCACATAATACTCTGCAATTTTCAGCCAAATCGATTTTTTCGCCTTCTCATCTAGCTTCGGTCGAATGAATTCGTTTCCATCACCACCGACGCCAATTCCAGCCAAATACGCAAAGTCCAAATCGGCTTCGTCCATCTTTTTCGCACACTTTTTCGCCAAATCCACGTCATTGACTAGTGCTTTGTCGACGGCGTCGCCGAACATTCCAGCTATGCAGTAGAGGAAGACGATGCATTCGTCGAGCTGAAAAATGGGACATTTTTTGGGAAAATCTAGCAATTTTGAGTCGAAAATTTGAGAATTTTGATTCAAAATGCAGCCAAAATTCGACAATTTTTCAGCCAAATTTCGAGATTTTCGAATAATTTTCTAGATTTTCAGGATCATTTTTCACAATTAAGGGTTCTAAAAATCATGATTTTATCTCAAAATTCGGGATTTTCGGGTCAAATTTTAGGATTTTTCGTCCAAATTGAAAAATTTATTGCTGGAATTTTTGATTTTTTGGGGAAATGAAATGCCACAATTTTGACCCAAAATTCCTGTTTTTGAAGTCAATTTTCATGATTTTTGGGTGAAATTTCGAGATTTTTAGGCCAAATTTCTACGATTTCGGCTAAAAATGACTCATTTTTGGTTCAAAAAATTTCAGATTTTCCACAATTTTCAGCCCAAAAAATCTCCCTTTTCCTCTATTTTTCAACGATTCTCACCTCAAATTGCTCACACGTCCGCATCGCGAAATCCAAGTCATACGGTAGCTCGGCTCGTCCTTTTTCATTGGATTTCAAGTACTTTAGAAGGTTCTCCCTCCTGAATTTCGCCATCAAGTGCAAATAAATATTGTGGAGATTCCGGAAATTCTTCACATCCGAATACTTGTTCGATTTGAGGAATTCCTTCAAGAAGTCCAACGCCGGCGCGGCCATTTCCAGATTTTTGATACAAAGTGACAGGCACGGAGTCAGTTTTTGCGGGGACATTTGATCCAAATTTTGGCTTAAAAATCCGATTATTTGCTTGGGAATGTGCTCGATGAGCAACGGACACATTTCGTAGGTCAGCTCGGAGATTCGCTGATTTTTTAGCACGTCGAGCACTTCAATGTATTGCTCACGGAGCATGAGAATGTCGATTACGGTACGGAGATCCTGGAAAAGGATTTTTTTTAGAATGGCGAGATTTTTTTGATTTAATTTTCAGCTATTTTCAGATTCTAGAATTGGCTAAAAACGCTGAAAATGGCGAAAACAAAAATTTTTTCAGTTAGGTCATTTTTCGCGTTTTTGAGGCCAATTTGAGACCATTGTAGGTCAATTTTAGATCTTCACAGGCCAATTTTAGACCATTTATAGCCAATTTAGGTCATTTTTCGAGCCAATTTGGACAATTTTAAGCCGATTTCAGACTATTTTACGACTATTTTGGACCATTTTAAGTTTTTTTGGACGATTTTAACCCTATTTTGGACTATTTAAGGCTCAATTACAGACCATTTTAAGTCTATTTTGGACCTTTTTACGCTTATTTCAGACTATTTTAAGCTCATTTTGAGCCATTTTAAGCCTATTCTAGACCATTTTAAGCCATTTTTAAATGATTTTAGGGGAATTTCGGACCATTTCAAGCCTATTTCGGACCATTTTACGCCTATTTTGGACCAGTTTCAGACCATAAGCCAATTTTAGATCGTTTTCAGAACTTTTTGAACCATTTTACGCCTATGTTGGACCATTTTAACCCTATTTTGGACTATTTTAGGCTGAATTATAGACCATTTTGAGGGAATTTCGGACCATTTCTACCCAATTTGAGATTACTGTAGGCCATTTCAGACCGTTTCACGCCCATTTCAGACTAATTTAGGCCAATTTTGGAACATTTTTGGTCATTTATTGGACCATTTTCGGTCAATTTAAACCTATTTTTCAGTCAATTCTGGATCATTTTAAGCCAATTTTGTACCATTGTAAGTTAATTTTAGGCCAATTTAGGCCAATTTTCGACTGTTTTTGCCTTCACAATTGTCTGAAAATGGTCAAAATTCGATCGAAGCAAGAAAAAAAAAGAATTTTCAGTTTATTTTATTTTCAGACAAAAATTCGACTAATTTTGGACATTTCGAAGTCAAATTTGATCAGTTGTTTACAGCCTGAATTCGTTAATTCCAGGCTATTTCGGTCCAATTTCAGCTAATAATATGTTCTTTATACGTCATTTTTAGACAAATGCTTCACATTTTTCAGATCAGATTCCAGAATTTTTCGAATTTCAGGATTTCAAAATTTTAGGATTTTTTTGAACATTTCTAGGTCGAATTTGACCAGTTTCCGACATTTTTCAGACAAATTAGGTCGATTTTCACGGTTTTCCTCACCCATTTTAAGCCAATTTCGCACCAATTTAGGTAAATTTTAGGTCAATTTCGGACCATTTTAGACCAATTTTAGATGATTTTAAGCCAATTTTTTGACCATACCAGGTCACTTTTAGGTCATTGTTGCTGAACTATTTTGAGCCAATTCGGGACCGTTTTAGGTCGATTTCATGCGATTTTTCTTGATTTTTTAGGAATATTTCTAGAATTTTCAAATTTCAGAAATTACATATTTCTAGCTAGTATTTGAGCCAATTTTCAGCCTACATGATGTTTTTTTAATTCATTTTTAGCATTTTCAGCCCATTTTCAGCGTAATTCCCACCTTAACAGCGTTGGCAAAGAACAGCTGCATCTCAAAATCCGCATGAGCAATGCACATCCGATAGACCGCTTCCCGGTTCGTTTGAATCGATTCGATCACATTTTTCCGCATAAAATATCGTTGAACATGGTCCATTGTGTCTTTTAGATGGTCCGCCGCCATTGGATCCGTCATATTATTTTTCAGTCGTCGCATTTCAGCCAGCTCCTCTAGTTGGACGTTCAGAAGCCACATCACCAGAGCATCCCGACGAATCTTGTCTTCATGACGTGTCAGGCGCTCCAGCTTCTTGTCTAGAAGCGTTTTCAGACCCATTTTTCGTTCGGATGAGTTTGTCAGAAATTTTAGGACCACCGATTCGAATGGCTCACTCGATTGGGCCAGGATTTCGGCGGCCGCTGTGAAACTGCAAAAAAATTGACGATTTTTGGGAAAAGAAGGGATAATTTTAGGGTTATACTAATCTCGAAAAAGCAGAAAAGGCTCCGAGACGTTTCAGAACTTTTCTGCATTTTTGTATAGTGGTTTTAGCACATCAAATGAGAATTGCTCATTTCATTTTTGTGCTTTTTCATTCGTTCTCATCTACCGTACTCCAAATAATGATAGGGTCACACTGGGAATCTCTCAAACAATCGAAAAAATTGAAATTTTCAAAAACGATGTCTACAAGCACGCAAAATTTATGTAATGACATCGTTTTTGAAAAATTCAATTTTTTCGATATTTGAGAGATTCCGAGTATGCACCTATCATTGTTTGGAGTACGGTAGATGAGAACGAATAAAAAAAACAGAAAAACAACAAATTGAGATAAGCAATACTCATTTTATGTACAAAAACCACTATGCAAAAATGCAGAAAAGTTCTGAAACGTCGTGGTTTTGAAACGTCCCGGAGCTGATGAGAACGAATGAAAAAAACAGAAAAGCACAAAATTGAAATGAGCAATGCTCATTTGGTGTGCAAAAACCACTATATAAGAATGCAGAAAAGTTTTGAAACATCGGATTCCGAAACGTCCCAGAACCAAAAAAAGAGGCTAGAATTAGTTTTGTTTTCAGCCAAAAAAATAAAGAATTTTAAGCCCAAAAGCGCTCCTCACTTCTTCTCCCTTATATAAAAATCCGCCTGTTTCCTGAGCACCATTTCCAACGCATCCGGCTCAATCTCCACTCGAGTTCTCGCGATTTGCAGTGCCTTCGCATAATCTCCCCGATCCAGATACGTCTTCCAAATGTATCTAGCCTCATCATTCGTACCGTACTTCATTGCCACTTCCGACGTGTACAACCAATGGAATTCAGTGACAGAGTCGGTGGTGAATCCGAGGGCGGAGCCTAATTCCGGCGTCCATGGATCTTCGAAAACGACGTCGTGGGGTGGGAGGAGAGATAGGGCGAGGACTCGAGAGGAGTAGGCTAGGAGAATGTGGTAGTCGGTTAGAGCAATGCCTGTGGGTGGTTCAAGACGGCCTTCGATCAGGCGGTGTCTGAAAAAATCATTTTGGATTATTTTAGGGCAGTTTTGGACCAGTTTAAGCCGATTTTGAACGATTTTAGGCTGATTTTGGACCATTTTAAGCCTATTTTAGACCATTTCAAGATAATTTTAGACCATTTTTGGCCAATTTTAGGCTAATTTTGGACAACTTTAAGACCATATAAAGTCAATTTGAAACCATTTTAAGCCTATTTTGGACTATTTTAAGCCTATTTTATCCCATTTTGGGCCAATTTTGGACAATTTTAAATCTTTTTCAGACTATTGCAGGCGAGTTTTTGATTAATTTGAATTAATTTCAGACTACTTGTAGCCAATTTCGGATCATTTCTGACCATTTGTGACTGATTTTAGACTATTTTAAGTCCATTAGGCTAATTTTTGCCGATTTTAGATCATTTTGAGTCAATTTTACATCATTTGTCCCCCAAAAACGCACTCAATATTGAATTCTTCCACTAGGACTTCTTGAATTCTCTCCGCATAAATATTCACACTTCCAATCGATATTCCATCCGGCGACAGCCAAGCGTATCGTTTTGGTTCCGTCATCGACGGATGCATCGTCAGGAATCCGTGATTTTTGAATTTTTCCGAGAATTTCGAGCTAGAAATTATGTGTTGCTGGGTGTTGGGCGAATTGAAGAACGCGTGGAATACGGTAGTCGGCGATTGCTCAGCGCCGAGATTCATGAGGCCAGCTTGTAAGGAGGCGGAGCTTGTGAAACCGCCTAGCTTCAGCGTTGGCGGCGGCTCGTTTTCCATGATTAGGACGATGAGACGAGCCATTTGAGCTATGATCAACATCCATTTTTTCGGGGCCTTTGGGTCGTCGTCCGAGAGTTGGAAGAGCTGAAAATTTTGGGGATTTTTTCGGTATTTTAGGATTTTTCAAAATTCGAGTTTTTGATTTTTTCGATTTTTGTTTCAGGAATCTCCAGAATTTCGAAAAATTATTGAGGGCGCTATGTTGGTTGGGGGGGGGGGGCTCTTTTTTGGCTTTTTTTGGCATTTTCTGACTTGCGCATTAATTCTAAGCATGTTAGAAATATTTTTGAGTTGTCTGGACCTCTAGAAAGTATAAAATAATATGATAAAATACAAATTCCTGTTTTTTGCTTCTTATTTTAGGCTTAGGCTAAAACGCCTTGGCACTTGAAATATGAATATTTTGAACTTTTAAACCGATTCTCGGGTAAGTTTTTCGGAAATGAAGCATTCTCAATCAGCATTTTTGGTGTGATTTGCGTTTTTCACCTATTTTGGCTTTTGTGAGTTGGGGCACCCAAATTTTTTGAATTTGGCGCCGAAATGCGGGTGTCCCTGAGGAAGGGAAACAAGGCGTTTTGGCCTAAGCCTATAATTTCAAACAAAAACCAAACATTTTGAAAAAAAAATTTCAGCCAAAATGTGCGATTTTCACTGATTTTCGCCAATTTCAGTATTTTTCTGGCTGAAATTTTTTTCAAATTTTTTTCGTTTTTTTTAAATTATAAGCTTAGGCAAAAACCCCTTGTTTTCTTTTCACTGGGACATACGAAAATGGCGCCAAATTCAAAAAATTTGGGTGCCCTCCCAACTACGCTAGCGCGTGCGTTTTAGCCTAAGCCTAAAATAAACAAGCAAATAACAGGAATTTGTATTTTATCGTATTATTTTATACTTTCTAGAGGTCCAGACACCTCAAAAATATTTTTAACATGCTTACAATTAATGCGCAAGTCAGAAAATGCCAAAAAAGTAAGAAAAGAGTGGCCCCCCAACCAACATAGCGCGGCTCAGTATCCAAGGGTACATCGGAAAAGGGTACATCGAGTTCTTAGGGTACATCGGATCAGAGGGTACATCGAGTTCTTAGGGTACATCGGATCAGAGGGTACATCAGTTCTTAGGGTACATCTGGGAGGTAGGTTCAAGGGGTACATCTGGCGTTGGTTCTGAGGGTACATCGGAGAAAGGATCCCAGGGTACATCGACAAGTTCTTAGGGTACATCAATTAAAAATTTTGTAGTTTTCAACTGGAAGATATTTTGGTATAAACTGCACTATTTTGCTTGTTTTTTTGTCGATTTGTTTGAAAAAGTACAGTTTCTCATAGTTTTATTGATTGACCAGCAAGCTGGTGAGCCTTCGGCGCGATTCCATCTATTTTTTTTTCAAATCTTCGTTTCTCACTTTTTCTAAATAAAAGGGTCACGTAAATATATATGTATTTTTCAATGGGGTTTGTTTATTGGAGCTTGTATCCACAGAATGCAATAGATGTACTATTACATTTTGAGCCTGCCGAAGAAAACAAATCCGCAATGCACATTTGGCGAGTAGTCAAAAAAAATATGAAAAAAAACTGTACTTTTTCAAACAAATCGACAAAAAAAAACAAATAAAATAGTGCAGTTTATACCAAAATATCTTCCAGTTGAAAACTACAAAATTTTTAATTGATGTACCCTAAGAACTTGTCGATGTACCCTGGGATCCTTTCTCCGATGTACCCTCAGAACCAACGCCAGATGTACCCCTTGAATCTACCTCCCAGATGTACCCTAAGAACTAATGTACCTTCTGGTCCAATGTACCCTAAGAACTCGATGTACCCTCGATGTACCCTTTTCTGATGTACCCTTGGATACTGGGCCACATAGCGCCTTATTGAGATTTTTGGAATTTCCAGAATTTCGAAAAAAAAATCGAATTTCTAGAAAATTGAATTCGAATTTTCTTCTAAAATTATGAAATTTTTCGTCTAAAATTATGAAATTCCGCAAACTTTTTTTTCTCATTTTGGATTTTTTGGGTATTTTTTCGGCTGAAAGAAGTGGAAAACATTTCATTATTGTACAGATTTGTAAGATCTCTTCAAGGAGCGAGATAATTGAGCTCGACTTGCAGGGGAGGTTTTCGGACGCATTGGACACCTTGAAGTTCGAAACCAACAGTCTGAGTTGAAGAATTTTTTAGTTTTAATGATTTTTTTTTTGAACAGATGGTACATCTTCAATTAAGTGTCTACAAAAAACTTATCGA